CCGACCGAGTGAAGTTTGTGAGCATGCAGAGCCCTCGAGGGCAGGGAGAAGGCCATCCTGGAGGGGTCGCGGGGAGGCCGGTCAAATTGGATTTGACGGCACGAAGGATGCTTTGGTTTCCGAATTGGACCGTCCGACCGACCGCCAGGAAGCGATGCAGCTGTTCAAGGTGACGCGGCTTGGTGCAAGAACGCATCCGCTTGTGCTTGTTGTCCCCATCAAGAGCTTGTTGCCCCGTGACTTGCTGGTAGTCGACGAAGAGTCATAACAGCAATTACTGGTGGATCAGTTCGTGACCTATCTCATACAGCCCATCGCGGATCGCGTCCGCAATGCGAACCCTACACGGGAATGTTGCTGGAGCAGTTGGTGTAGGTGGTTTGAGAGCTTGGTGATGCGCCACACGCTGCGCTGAAGGAGGAATACCATGGAGGCGTGTAGTGGTTGGATAAATTAGAACAGATGATGGAGCAGCTCGTGCATTATGTCAACGGGCTGTGCTCGGAGCAGCGAAAAAGCGGATGTTGCTTCCTTTGCGGGAAACCGAAACTCTGGGAGAGACAATGTTCGGTGAGGTATGCTGTTGCTCGTGTACGAAATACACGCATGCAACCTTGCTTTTCTACTCGGATCAAAGAACTTGTTGTCTGGGCGCTGAATATGGGGAGGTGATCAAAGCGATGGTGGAAGTAGACGGAAAGCTGGAACGGTGTCTGAACAATGCGGTTGCCGCAGCGTCACTGATCAGCCATTGGCGGGGTGAAGAACTTCAGTCCTTCTCCATGGTCGTGTGAGCCGTTGCCTGGTACTGAGTGTGCATTGATGGTATGGCAGAACACGTCGTGGAAAGCGGTGGACGGAAAAGAACACACGTCTTCACCTTGACCAGACGCGAAGAAAACCAGTTTGGGAGCAGCTTTCCTGCATTTCAACAACGTTATCGTTGATTTAAAGGAGGGAAGTTGTTGACTGCGTACAGGCCGTTGTCACTCATCGGCCGCGGGGGAACGATACCTTTGCAATCGGTTGTTGCTGCATTGCATTTGAACCCGACCTTGCAGTCACTGATTACCAAGTATCACCCCTTGTTCAGTGGCGAAGCTGTACGCTGTCAGGCGCGTCCCCAGGTTTCCGATGGGGGAATGCCTTCGTTGTGGAGGTAACTGAGAGTAAGTCACGTCTGCTTTGCAGGCGAGTTGACTACGTAGTCGCGGACAATCAGCGGCAGTGTCTCAGAGCATGGGTAGTTCTGGGCTGGTCACCTGGTTCTCCATTAAATACCACTAGGGCTCGTACGCCGCTGTGTCAAAGCCAATGTGACCGGCTATAGGGTCATTGACCATTCACACCTGTAACTAGGGGTGAGTACCTAAGTGAGGACGGATGCAGAATATTGCTGACCACCGGCTTTTCTGTGGACTGCTTTCGAACATAAAGAAGGCCAATGAGTCACCTGGATGTCAACGGTCTTCCTGTATCGTTACGCTGCCTTGCGAGTCCGATGTTTGTGACCAAAGGCTCGGTTTGTGGCCGCTTAAGTTAACCCTCATCCTCGGCCTGGGCAACCGGGAAGCTTATTGCCCATACAGCAAATGGAAATTTGCTTGCATGCCTTTGACTCTCTGCTACTCGTTTTTGTTATTGTTTCTCATGTGTTGTGGCACCCTGCCAAATTTTTAGTAGGCAAGATATATATATATATATATATATATATATATATGGCAGGTCCGGGAAATGTCTACCGACATTCATTGACGTACCTTAACTTGTCGGTTTTGCTCGCAGTTCGGATATCCAATCGGACCTCACACGATGCACCGGCGCACACAATCGCGGTCTGTTTACCACGAATTCCACGGTGCTGCATGTTTTTCCGCGACGAAGCGCAGACCACCCACACGTGGACGATCGACAAATCCTGATCTGTTTTTATGGTCAAATATTTCGTTGAAAAACTGGGTGCCTATGGGCTCTGTATTGACGGATGTTTAGCTGTAGCACTGAAGTTACCGTTCCGTACAGGGTTTACTGTGGAAAAAATTGGACCTCACGTTGTCGAACGATCGTGCACGTGATGTACAACTGCCGCAAACCTGAGCAATAAGTTTTCAATGTGTCCGTATTTGTATCAAAGGTAATGTTAAAACACAGTTATACTGGGCACGCCGGTAGATTGAAAACAAGCTTCCAAACTACCATTGTAGGAGAAAAGGCAGCAATTTCAACTAGGCTTTTCAGATTAGGAATAATAATGACTTGGTACAGGAGTATTTTATCGCCTTTAGTATTCTGCTTTCTATTAAGTGAGCTAAGTTCCATCTGGAATTTCTCCTTCCCAAATAACCTACGACACTTAAAGATTACCCGGTTTTTCAGTTCAGTTCAGTTGAATAACCATGATCCGGGCACCGAAGTGCCGTGGTTGCAGGTGCCACGACTCGCGTCGCCAGATTGGCAATAGAGAACAATGATAAGTAAATTCGGTTGGATTTAAATGTGGTATTAGCAGAATGGAAATAAGAATGAAGTACATGAAGCTAATCGTATTGAAGTATGAACAGTTAAACGCAGGAGAACGAATGCAGAGGCAGCACTGACTCCGACGATGCGCCACATCCGATAGAGTCTCCAACCATTGGTTTGGACTGGCACGAGGCCCCATCCACGGAGATGGCAAGTACTTGCCTGATCAAGTCTCTCGGTCAATTTCTTCATGCCCCTATACCACGGCATCGATTGAACACTTCGTGGTTCCGCCCAACTTGGTGCAACGACGGCTTATAATGCTCGCCGAGGAAGGCTGGTAACTGATGTGCTGATTACATGACCTAACCAACCTTAGCGATTCAACTTCAAAAGACGTTGAAGTGAGGCACCAGAGGATTTCTTACAAAAAACCCACTGGCGGACCTCAGCATTACTCACCCTGTGTTCCCACCAGATCGAAGCACGGGAATGGCGAGCTGACAAAAGAACTGTCTCCACCTCCTCTGCAGACTGAGGGCCACGACGTAATTTTGCTTCCCCATATAGAGCTGAGTTAGCATGGCGGATAATGTGAACCACTTTGGCCGGTTTAGGTGGGATTCCCACTTCCTGACATATATGTACTAACTGTTTCAGATCGTCCGATAACTTGTCTATGATTGAGCTTGCATTCGACTCAGACACATTAAAACATATTATCTTTAGCGAGTTCTGCTGCTTTTTACTGTTCACAATTTTAATTAGTGGTGTGCTTTCTTTCTCTGACAGTATGAGAATCGGATTTCTCTGTGGCGCAGTAGCATTCGTGCTATCTTTTGGCGAACTTTGAGGCCGTTACCGACGTGGCCATTCGTTAAGGTTTGTCTTTGCGCGCAGCAAGAACAGACGCGTATGTTGTCAGGCTTTCGTCGGCGGCGGATTAGCGTGGATGCAATGGTTCAGTGTGTGTGACACAGTTTCACTTTTGGAAACAAATGCTTCAGCCACGCTTGGGGTAACAACGATAGGCTGAGCCAAGTTGTTCCCCACGTTGTTGAAGTACCTGCTTAAGTATCTCGGTGATTTGGGTAGCCGCCCACAAACGTAGACATGACGGAGCAAAATATGGACCACCGAGGTTGCATAGACTAGGCGCATTAACACGGATGGGTAAGCTGCACGATACCCAAACGGAGACCTCTGCTACAAGCAAGAAGTTCGGTGTACAATAGCACCGTGAGCGATAACTAATTTGTCTATAAACGACGTATCGGAGACTCCAATAATCTCTTACTTATTGATCCGGTGTGGATTGAGCATTTACACCAACGGCGCCAATATGTACGCATCAGATACCGCCCAATTATCACGGCGTTCGGAGTGGCGTAAAATGTTGAAGAAGTAGGCGATGCTGATGGACTTAAGTTCGACCCAACCTATCATTGACACCATTCGTCCGGAGAGCGCTTTAGTCTTCAAGTCATTCTGGCTACAGTACAAAAATCGCTTGGTGCAGTTGGCGAGCCCTTTCTACAACTTCACGGTGGTGATGGCGTGGCATTCGTTCACAATATTCTGCTGCAATTGCTCGAGGAAAATCGGCTTGTTTCTGTTAACCCTTCGTGTCAAATATCCCCAGAGAAAAAAGTCCAGTGGGTTTAAATCGGGTGACTGTGGGGGCCACTCGATGTGGCCTCCACGACCGATCAAACGTTGGCCGAATTCCTTGCGCAGATATTATCGCACCGATTGAGCTTAATGCGCTTGTGCACCATCATGCTGCAACCATTTGGTACTGAGAATTCTGTCAGCCTCTAACTGTGGCAGTACGAAAGTCTGGAGCAATTCTTTGTACGACGATGTTAGCAAAACTAAGTGTTGAGTAATATAAAACAACCTACCGGTCATGTTCCTGGAAAAGTAAAATGGTCCCACGATTTTCTGACCAGTAAGTCCAGCCCAGACCAACAGCTTGGCGCTATGCTGAATTCGTGACCTGTGTATCTGCATGGATTTGAAGTAACCCAGAAATGTTGTTTGTCCGTTCCAAGCAAATGGAACACGGACTCATCCGTAAACATTACTGAGTGAATGCACATGTGATCCAAAAACCAACGGCAAAATGTGTACCGTTTATCCGGATGGTTTGGATTCACTACCTGAACTTGGAGTGTACGAAACCGATGAAGATTGCATTCTTTCAAAATGTTTTGAACCGCGTAGCGGGTGGTGTCACAATGTTGGGCCATTCTACATATGCTGAAATCGGGCCTCTTAAAGGCAAACAGCGAATGGCTACGTCGGTAACGGCCTCAAACATCGCTACTTATAGCACGAACGCTACTGCGGTACAGAGAAAGTCGCATCTCACACCGCCAAAGAAAGAAAACGCACTCCACTTTAAAATTGTGAACATTAACAAGCAGCAGAACTTGCTAAAGATAATATGGTTTAATGTGCTTGAGTCTGGAACGGTTTACCGGTACGCTTTGCATCGTTGCATAAGCCACTTTTCCAGCTTGTGTCCTGTATACCTCTATATGGATCAGATAAATCAGTAGACTTCAGCTGCTCGTGCTGTGTCAGGTGGTCGATTAAACAGCGAAAAGGCACTTCATTACCATTGCTCACCTTGAATTACGGGTACACACTAACCGCATTCGCGGCGCGCGAGACCTAAAGTACTTTAGATCGACTCAACGGCATCGATCGCGCCCTCTTTAAACGACCGTTGCAGTATAGCCGGCACACTACGATATGGCTCATTCAACAAGCACTAACTGTGGACCGTACGATGGATATATACCGGCAAGTAAGCATTTCCAGTCTTTGAGAATTGATTGACAATCTGAATTGTCGCGTTTAAGGCAACTTAAAGAAACTGGTAACTCTTTGAAAGAGAACTCTAATACTAGAAAGGTGAAATATCATTGAATACCGGGAATATTTTTAGCACCGAATGTGGATGTTGGATTGTTTCTTTAATAGCGTAGTCAAGTACTAGTCACTTTATCTCCAGACGAGACAACATCCTCAGCTAAAATTCCAGTAGGTGTTTATGAAGTTGCCACAATATGGTTACATTTTCTAGTAACGATTCCCCCGAAAACTAATCTAGAACAACCGTGACATTACCGACTTTAATGTTATTAGGGACGAAATCATACAGGTATCCCTAGATTTTTGTTTCACCTGCTGGTTTGTGCATACACGCCACAGTTTAGTGCCCTAAAGACGATATTCAGGATTGGCTTTAATAGAACAAGTAGCCGCGGTACCCCCATCGAGCGCTAAAACAGGGTTGGGATGTGCACTACAGAACAGCATGTGGGTAACGTGCGTGGTCGGAGGATGATGCTCTCTCAGGTTCCTTTTCTGCCCCATCGATCCATTGGGCTATGCCGGCTTGTGATTTGCACCTTCAGAGCAACTGATATTAGAATGGTCAATGGTAGAGGCAGGAGAAACGCAGTCTTCTGGCCCTCCAGGTTGGGGTTGGAGTGAGGGTGTCCCCTTACTCCATAAAACGGCCTCAGTATAGCCAAGTGACCAAAGCCCACTATCTTGCTGTCAGGTTTTGTACCAAAGGCTTTGGTTCAGTACCCTAATCGCTCCCCCGTCTGGACCTGGGTATCCTGTCCACGCAGTACAACACAATTGGTTTCCCTGTAAACAATCCCTTGACGCTCTGGCTGCCGCAGAGGATAATCCACGGCGCTCTACTGCTGCACTGGGCAGAGTAGATAGGAGTGATGATGCTACTGCTCAGGCGGTCCCATCTTCATATTCCCATTCTTGCGCTTTTTCACCCTTATCGCCCCATACCAAATTCACTTTTATTCTCCTGTTTTCAACCACCCAATTTTTAGCCCACCATCTCTTTGCGGCATAATAGAGGAGGTATGTTGCCCACCCTCAACTAAGGTGTATTGATGATGATGCTGGTAGTAAGGTTTCCAACATTCTGGCTTAGAGCTTCTACCGGGTGAGCGCGCGACCGACTTAGATTATGCTGATGATATCGCCTTACTTGGTGACGATCCTCAGGGTATGCAACTCATTCTGGATCATTTGGCGGTTGAAGCATCTAAGTATGGCATGAGCTTTGCCCCATCGAAGTGTAAAGTACTGCTTCAGGATTGGCTTGCACCTGCTCCCGTGCTCACTCTCGAAGGTGCACAACTTGAACAGGTAGCTATTTACGTCTACCTCGGGAGCTGTGTTTCTGCTGACGGCACTATCAACAAAGAAGTTGCACTTCGTATCGCTAAAGCTCGATCAGCATTTGTCAATCTGAAACACCTGTGGCGTCGTCGTGACGTCTCATTCTCACTAAAGGACCGAGTTTACAGCGCATCAGTTCGCTCAGTATTGTTGTATGGGAGCGAGTCCTGGTCGATTCGCGTGGAAGATATGTGTCGTATTTCTGTCTTCGATGCCGGTGGCTTAAGGAGGATCGCTCGTGTTTGGTGGCAACATCGAGTTAATAGTAATGACGTTCGACGTCGCATCTTGGGGAATGCAAGTATTTCCTTCAACAAACTGGTTTTGTTGCGTTAGTTAAGATGGCTCGGTCATGTCCTACGCATGGCACCTGAGCGTCTACCGCGTCGTGCTCTATTCGCTCGTCAAGGACCTGGCTGCAAGCGACCGCGTGGTGGTTAGCCTTCCACTTGGCGGCAGCACATGAAATCGCTGACGTCGTGTCTAGCCGTTGTTGGATCCGTACGTCTTCCAGGATGGGGACCCAAAGATGAGGAGTGCCAATGGCTTAACACTCTTGTAGACATGGCCCGTAACCGGAATCAGTGGAAGCATTGTGTACAGTATTGGATTGATTCACATGTTTAATACTACCATGTTTAATACTACCTTCTATAGTTACCTGGAGGACTGGTACTCGCCACCGACTCGGCATGGATAGAGAGAAACAATGTGGCACATTGACGTTGGTGCAGAATCTCGCCACATGACCATTCTGGTTGCATCGGAAACAGCGGCGACCGTTCCGGATTACCCGTACATTGCGTTGTGAAGTGGTGCTTGAAGACTCTATCGACAACAGCTGCTCCACCATTTCGGATAGGCGATTTACTTTCTGTTCCAACTCAGCATGCTGGATGCTTCTCACTGTCACTCGTTCCGACAAATTCTGGGCGACCGTCACCAGATCCAACGCTTTGCTGTCTCCCACCATCGACGCCAATTTCACCTGACCATGGAGTGGACCGGGCAGACTTCGGATAAACTGCTGTTTCAGTAGGCGCTCTCTTGCGTTACCCTCTAACTCGGGGAGCCCAATCGTTAGATGTCTGTCCAGCTGCTGGAAAAACACCATCAAATCCTCATGTTCGTCCCATCTGGCTGCGTGAAATCGTTGCAGTGCTCGTTCTCTCTCCAGATCCTACCCAAATTCTGCACACAAGGCAGCCCTCATCTCAGCGAACGAACAACCGGGTTTGGCCTTTCGAGTGAGCAGATACACCGCCTTGGCTCGTCCACTCAACCGTGTGCCCAAAGCAATTAGCAAATTTGCATCCCCCCTCACACCCGTGCAAGCCGCAATTCCGTCGAACTCATCGAGCCACGCCTCCACGTCACGGGCCGCAAATTGCTCCAACCGGGTCAACTCCATCGCGATTGGTCACGGCACCAGTGTAGCGAGAACGACAAGACAGGGGGATAGACGTTTATTGCACACCGGGTGTCACGCGCGCCATCGAATATCGACTAGATTTCCGTCCCACCACGCAACACAGGTACGGATGTTAGAGGCGAGCCAGTCCTTTCGCCTCGGGAGCTCTGACTTGGAAGTCCCGCCTTCCTGTTTTCGCCTCGATCTCCACTTCACTGTACCCGATTTGGATCGGCCAGGAGTCGTTCGAAAGCTCTCGACTTGCTTGTTCTGGGCTGCGTCAATCGGCTCGGCCTCGGTCCTGTGGGCTGCGCTAGCGGCGTATTTGTCTGATTTATTGCGCTGTCCACATATTCCCGCTCCGTAGTTCCGGGCCCAGGCTCGTCGCTAGCCGTCTTACTCGATCCGCTCTCAGCTAGCTCCGAAGAGCTCCCCAGAGCCATTCTTGGAAGCGGCCCCTCTACAATATTAAAAACGACAAAAAAAGAAAAAAATCGGTTTGTGACAAACAAACTAAAAAAGGTTTTGTTCTATTTTTTCTCAAAAGGTTCCATTCTTCTTGCGGCATATTAGCTGAAGTGTGTTGCCCACCTTCAACTACCATGCCGCGATGACTATGACGCAATGACGGTGTCCTATCCACTGACCTCCATGGCTTTGTTGGCTCTATGTCTATTTTCTAGACTATTGAGATCACATAGTAAGTACATTTTTAGTACCAGAGATGTCTGCTACTCCATTTACTTTGTTTGTTGGGATAGCGGTCACGAATGCAACTGCTTTCTTTGCGTGGAGGCTCATTTTTTGTCAAGTTTGAGGGCATTATTGAGGCGACTACGACGTTTTGTCGAATGTAAGTGGCTATTCTCCCTTTGATGAGTTACTTTTCATCATTTTCTTGATAAGGCCAATGACACCTTGTTATCACCTCCCCCACTCTGATAGAAGGTTCTGATTTGAGCTCACTTATGGCATTATTAATGGTCGAAAGCATGAGAACATTCAGTGTTTATAATCGAAGTTTGTTTAATCACGTCACCAGTGGAATCAAATGTAACAAGACGGAGGTAAGGTGAAGTTAGGCTTTAAAAAAGAATGACATTTGGGTCAAAAAACGAAAACTTTGTTGGCGTAGTGGTCAAAGCGCCTCCGTGTCCCACATTGGATTCCCAATTTGCTTATCTCTACCCAGAAAGAGCGCACAAATGAACCAGTTGGTGCAGCACATTTTTTGGTGCGTCATACCCGGACCGAGGAACTCGTTTGATCGGAACTCGTTTCCTCAATGGTTATGGGTTTTACGAGATCCCAGTTAATATTTGCACAATTGCGTGGTAAGGGTTTTGCCAGAGTACATCCTCCCAGAAGTCGCTGAAGCCCGGGATCACCTCTTCCAACGACCATCGAGTACTGTAGCGGAAACGTCTTTTCTTCGCAGATGGTAGAGACGTTGTAAGTGGTCGTATTGAAGTCCCCGTCATTGACGACTGTTTGAGACTGTAAATGCCCGTTGTATGCGCTCACTGGTCCGTCATATGCGAGGGAATATGGTTGAGCATACTCATTCCATGGCGTTACTAAATGTGGTTCCGGAGTGTCCCTTTAGCAGCTCCTCAATGGCTGTTCGCAAAGTAGCTGCACGGTATTCAGTTTGTGATGTGCATTGGGCCAGTCTTCGTCTAGCTTCCGCCATACGACGTTGAAAAGCAGCCTGGTCACCTGTGGTTTCTGTAACTAGGTGCCAGGTATCTGTAGCAATCTACGCATGGTTGCCGGCGCATGCTTCTTCCAAATCGATCCCTGGAGTGAGTTGAGATCGCGTATCGCAATCCGTCCACACTGTAAGTGGCAGAGTCGCTTGGGACTCGGGCAACTCGTAATACTCTGGGGTCAAATCAATACCAGGTCGGAATTTAACTAGAGTCCTATTCGTATGGAAATCAAAGAGTTATATGGACAGCCCGCGACAGTATCCCTGCAGTTCTGAAACAACTGGGTCTTTACAAGGAATGCAAATCACCATAAATGTCACCGTCCAGATAGATCACACAACACAGAGCATGCGAGCGGAATCCAACGCCTCTTTCAATGAGTTCGATTGCTTAGCTGTACAGTCAAAAGAGGGTGGTGGGAGTAATGTGCTTCGAGACAATTGTGAGATGAAAGGAACAACAAGG